GGTAAGGAAGAAGAAGGGGATTGGCGAGGAAGAAGTGCTGGCAGCCATAGCTGACCGGGGAGTTGACCGAGAGGGTTGACCGGAGTCGTTGACCGGAGTTGACCAAAGTTGACCAAGGGTCATAGCAGCGTTGACCGGCGTTGACCAAGGCCGTTGACCAAGGCGTTGACCAAGACTTTGACCAAGCTGGAGTTGGTAACATCTCGCCAAGCCCTTAGCCTGCCCCTTGCCCTATGGATGTGCACATACCCCTTGGTACTTGCTGAGTACAGTCTGTCTGTCTATTCTTTCTGCATTGAGTCTCTTCTGTCCTAGGTCATAGAACTCTGTGGATGAAGGATAGGGCCTTGCTGCCAAACCTGCACGGGACTTAGCAGGACTAATCTCTACTCTGGTATCTGGAGACCTGGGCATGAGCGGCGAGCGCTCGTTAAACAATTCATCTAGCCCAATGACCGGTACTGTCCGGCAGCTCTGTTCAGTTTCAGTGTAGAGGGTCCGAACTCTGAGCTGCAGGCTGAAACGGAGGCCGTCTTTAAGTGTTAAGGGCCTGTTGGAACCACTCCCCTACCAKACCAAGTAAGGCTGATGATCTGTGTCTGACGACTCGACTGTCCCGGGGGATACGAACCCTCCCAAGCACCGGTACAGACCGGCGGGCTGCTCGGTGTGGCACAGTAGGCCGAAAAGGCTGAGTTATGGGCTGAAAGCATAGGCAGAACCAAGTTGATCACGTCGTCCTGTCTGCGACGTTAAAGAATTCTTGAGGAGTTACGGGGGATCTCCTTAAATGCCTCCTGATCAGCCACTGGTTCAGTAGTGACAGCCATAGTGTAGGTCTAGGCTAGAGACCATAGTTGACAGGATCCCTGTCAGGATTCTGTAAGTCTTAGATTGAGTCAATAGGTTTGTCAGTCAGGGGTCAGAGTCTACGTGGTGAGGTTTGGAACCACTAACCCGGTTGTACACTTACCACCATGGTGGACCTGCGTAGTGGGAAGAACACTAGCCCCTATACCGCTGAGCAGCAAGAAAAGATGGCCGTCTTAGCCAAAGAGAATAAGGAGAGGAAAGAGCGTGAGAAGCAGGCGAAGCTAAAGGCTATCGCAGAGGAGCGGGCGGCGAAGCTAAAGGAAGTGGAGGAGGAGATGAAGAAGAAGGAGAAGGGTGCTGAAGAAGAAGCGGCAATAGAAGAGGCAAAAGAAATGATGAGGATTGAAAGCGGAAAAGGAAGTAGTGGCACGAAGAAGGACACAGACGCAGAGATTGAAAAGAAGATCAGCGAGTGGGTTGCTAACTTATCGTTGGGGGAAGACGAAGAGGCGGAGTCATACGTGACTGAGGATGAGAAGGCCGCATTGGCCGCTGAGCTAGCAACCATGAMGGATCCTATGGAGCGAAGAGAGCGGGAAGACGAGCAAAAGTTGCAGTGGAAGCTGAGGATGAAGAGGGAGAAGAGGAGGAGGAGAGAAGAGGTGAACAAGATGACCGCAGCAGAGGCAGAAGTGCAGGAGTGTAGAGCGGAGGTATTGGCCCAGCCAGATGATAAGGCCAAATGGAACAAAGTACTGGGCTACCTAGAGGTGCCGAGTAAGGCCTGGATGGAGGAGCGCCATACTAGTTGGAGTCATGATGTAGCGTTGAGTGCCATGCGGTCAGGATTTAAAGAGTTTACACGCGAAATCGTCACCCATATTGGGGGCGAAGTGAAACAGTTGAGGGACAATGTAGGGAAGTACTGCGAAGGCGCCATTGAAGGTGCCAAAGCCATAGCTGCTGCAGAGAGCGGAGATAGACCCCGCAAAGAGCCTGTAAAGCTCAGGTTTCCAGACACGTACGGGGGTAAAAAGGAGGAAAACTTTGACAAATGGGAGGCCAGTGTCAACAGTTACATTTCTTTGCAGCATATCCTAACGGAGGAGAAAGTCCTCGTGGCCTTTCAGGCCCTCAAGGACGAAGCAACTAGTTTCGCTAGGTCCCTTGCGCGTACAGCTGGTTTTGAAAACAACGTGGTTGCATATTCCAAAGTCACTCCTCTTTCCCAATTCCTCAAGCTCCTCAAGGAGCGGTTCGCTGACCCAACACGAGGCATTAGAGCCTCTGATAAGCTTCAAACGATCCACTCCCGGCAGTGGAGGAGTTCCAAGGCACTCAAGGGTACCATGAACGACTTGGTAGCCGTCCCGGACCACGGGGTCACTGAGCCCCAGTGGTCCAGTTGTTTTATCGTGCCATTCCAGAGGCCTTACACGGGCATTTCTTTGACAAATCTTAGCAGGCCGGCATGACTTACGATGTATTGAGTAGAGAAGTCGTCCTGTATGAGTCGAAGTCTATGCCAGTTACCACTTTCTGGCATAAGGACCTGGAGAAGGGGAAAAAGTGGAAAGATCGTACCATCTCGGACCAAGTCAAGGCCAAGGATCACTTGATCCTGACGTTAGAGGAGGGTGGCACAGAAGAGGTCCCATATGATCAGATTGAGTGGGGCCTAGGGGAGGAGTACAGTTGTGTAGGGCAGGGGAGGTCTTACGCTGCTGTCGCGGCCGGAGGGAGGCCGCAAGGTAGAGGAGGAGGCCAGGGCCAAAGGGGCCAGGCCATGGGAGGCCGAGGACCGGGCGCGCAGGGGGTTGGCGGACAAGGAAACTGCCAAGCGGGAGGTAGGGGTCAAGGTCCCCCGTTAAATCGCCAAGGTAACCGGTCCCCACATCGAGGAGGTGGAAGGGCACCTCAAGGAGGATGACATCCAGGCTTGCCGCAGGGCAGGCCCTGGGAAGACTTGGGCTTGGATCGACAATTATGGCAAGAACGCGTGAACATGGGTCAGTGCGTATTCTGTGGTGACCTGGCGCACGTTATCAAATTTTGTCCAAAGTATAGACAGGCCTGTTGGGCTGCTCAACAGTCAAAAGGTAGCCACCAGTAGGGGTTGCAACTGCCCCTTCTTTAAGGCCATGTGGAGAAGTGAGTGCGCGTGAACAGGACACTCCCAGCCCACATGAGCCTATGGCAGAGGTTGCAGGCCCGTGCCTAGATAGYTGTCCAGAGACCGCCTGTGTAAGCGTCTCTTTAGGCACGTCCCTCACAGGTGTGGCAGAAGAATTAAAGGAGAGGATGCCAGCCTGGGCCAAAATGAAGAAGGAGAGTAAAGGACAACTGATTTTGGTAGATGTAGAGGTGTTTAGGAGTAGGGTAGGGGCCCTTATAGACTCAGGGGCTACCCGTAGTTATATTAGCCGTAGGGCGCTGAAGAAGCTGAGGCTAGGACTAAAGGTCCAGAAGTTAATAGACCCTCTAGTCAGTGTTCTCGCAGACAACCGCACGATGCGCGTTGAGGACTATGTAGAGGGAGTCCAGGCGTACTTTCGCCTGGAGAAATATTTCTCTAAGATAGACTTAAAGTCCGGATACCATCAGATAGAGGTTCATCCTGATGATCAGTACAAGACTGCGTTCCGGACTAGATATGGGCATTATGAGTTTACAGTCATGCCCTTTGGACTAACCAACGCGCCAGCTACTTTTTAACATTGTATGAATGACCTGTTTAGACCGTGGTTAGATAAATTTGTAGTAGTCCACTTAGATGATATCCTAGTCTTTAGTAAGACTCTTCAGGAGCATCAGGGTCATCTGAGGCAGGTCTTGGGGAAGCTTAGAGTGGCTAACTTCAAGATCAACGCGAAGAAGTGCGAGTGGGCCAAGACACAAGTCCTGTACTTGGGCCACGTATTAGACGAAGATGGCATCAAGCTAGAGGACAGCAAGATAGCGGGGATTAGAGATTGGCCAACGCCCCGCACATTGACAGAATTGCGGTCATTCCTAAGCCTAGCTAACTACTACAGGAAGTTCGTGAGGAACTTCTCCACTATCACCGCTCCCTTGCGCAGGTTGTTGAAGAAAGAGACAATCTGGCAATGGGATAAAGACTGTACGTCTGCGCTCAAGAAGCTAAAGTGCGCGTTAATAGAGTATCCTGTCCTCAAGGTTGCAGATCCGTCCTTGCCATTTGTCGTCACCACGGACGCGAGTCAGTATGGGATAGGCGCCGTGTTGCAACAAGATGACGACAATAGCTATAGAACCGTAGAGTTCATGTCTGCGAGGATGCCCTGTGAGAAGGTCGCTACCTCCACGTACGAGAGAGAACTCTACGCTCTCAGGCAGGCTTTAGACCATTGGAAGCACTATCTGCTTGGGAGGCACTTCAAAGTGTATTCAGACCACGAAACGCTTAGATGGTTAAAGACTCAGGCCAAGATGACACCTAAGTTGACTCGGTGGGCCGCAGAGATAGACCAATTCGACTTTGAGCTCAAACCAGTAAAGGGCAAGTACAACGTAGTTGCGGATGCTCTGAGTAGGAGATCAGACTACTTTGGAGCCGTAGTACACTATCTGGATATAGGGAGAGACCTGCAGGAGAAAGTGAGATCAGCGTATATGCAGGACCCTATCTATAGTGAACTCCTAAAGAGAGTTAGAGAGGCCCCAGAGACCGAACCAGATTACCGCACTACAGACGGGTTGTTATTTGAGAAGACTAATGTGTTTGATTGCCTGTGCATTCCCAACAGCGAAGAGATTCGTAGTCTGATTCTAGGGGAATGCCACGATACTGAAGGGCATTTCGGTTGGGAAAAGACATTAGCCAACCTGATGCGTGCGTATACCTGGCCAGGGATGAAGAATGACTGCATAAAGTATGTCCGCAGTTGTAAAGTGTGCCAGAGGAATAAGTCTACTACACGCGCGCCCCTAGGTCTTCTCAGACCCTTGCCTATTCCGGATCAACCGGGAGACTCAGTGTCTATAGACTTCATGGACACGCAAGTCAAGAGCAGACATGGTAAGAGCCAAGTCATGGTCATAGTTGACCGATTTAGTAAGTATGCAGTTTTTGTTCCTTTGCCTGCAGAGGCACACACGGACCTAGTTATATAGAAGTTTTTTGACTTTTGGGTTAGTGAGAATGGAATCCCATTGTCAATAGTTAGTGATAGAGATAGTCGTTTCACCAGCCAGAACTGGCAAGAACTCATGAGAGTTTACGGATCTAAGTTGTTAATGTAGTTCGGCCGTCACCCAGAGACTAACGGTCAGACAGAACAGATGAACAAGATCCTACAGCAAGTTCTGCGCATGTACATTAGACTAGATCAGATTAACTGGGATGAGATGTTGCCTAAGGTAGCTAGTGCATACAACAACAACGTGCATCTATCCACCTGTCGCACACCCAATGAGTTGCACAAGTCCTTTAGACCGCGCAGACCGTTCGAAGGACTGAACCGGGATCAGATTCACAGATTACCGCCCGGTACCAGGGAGTTTGCGATACAGCGTGAAAAGGAGTTAGCCACTGTTCTTGAGAACCTTCGGAAGGCCCAACACAGAATGATAGAGCAGGATAACAAGCACCGTCGCCCATCACAGTTTCAAGTAGGCGACTTAGTCAGGGTCAAGGCAAAAGAGTTTGCACCGGAAGAAAACATCTCGCAGAAGTTACTGCCTGCATATAGAGGACCGTGGCCGGTTCTAGAAGTCAAGGGCGGAGAGGATGGACCGTCCTATAGCATTGAGATTCCAGCACACCTCCACACATACCCTRTGTTTCATGCTTCAAAGCTGCTGCCGTGTATCACTAGTCAACAGTTCCCTTCCAAGAAATCCATGATTCCACCGGATATGGATGGAAGCTATGACATAGAGGGCATTGTAGAAGAGGATATGTTTAGGACAGGAGGTAGAGGTCGTCCCCAAAAACAGTATAAAGTCCGGTTTGCCTATCAGGAACCGGAAGACGACCGCTGGTTCATGAAAGCACAACTTCTAGAGACTCCTCCCGACATAGTCAGAGTCTATGAGCGTGACAAGAAAGGTAAAGGTCCCGCCTTGGACTGAAGTTTTCTCGGAGGACCTCGAAATTAGGACGGCGGGAGTGAAACGGTTTTCACCTTTTAACAGTAGCGGATGCAGTACCCAGGGTTCGATCCCTAGACCTCACCCTACCCATGTACAGTATCTGTGTAGACCCCGAGAATTGAACCTGTGACCTGTGCATTCGTAGGCAGTTGGTAGGCCTGTCGTAGGTCCATAGGCAGCAGGGGTTTGATATGTAGGTCTATAGCGTAGGAGTCTTAGTGAGTTCCGGAAGCTTAGCTGTAGACCTTCTAGAAGGTAGGCAAGTGGGCAAGTGGTCAAGTGGAGAGGCAAGTGGTGGACTAAACCACAGTGCAACAGCAATACAACGTCGGTAGGATAGTGGTGAGTCCACAGTCAGTCAGCGGAAGGTCCAGTAAGTCCCAGTCTGGTCCAGCAAGTACCACAGGGGGACTGTGAGCACCAAGGGCCGATGGCAAAGAGCAGACCAACGAGTTTCTGAAGTATAAATCAAGAGGCAGCGCCCAGCCATTCATTGATTCTTGCGTGAGCCATGCGAAAGCGCTGCCACAGCGACTTGTGCAAGGAGGTCGACAAATGAGCCCGGAGGACGCAGTGGGCTAGAAAGAGGGAGTTAGCATAGCGATAGGGTAGATACAGCGACAGCTGCCATAGCTGTAGTTAGTAGTGAGTGTGTGTGTGTGTTCGAGTGTTAGAGTGATGCGTGTGGGATATCCAGGGTGATCGAGTGTATGTGAACAGTGAGATGTTTGGGCGCTGAAGTCGCCATAGCCAATTGAGAGTGAACTCGTATC